CCAGCTCTACACCTTGTTATCTCAACATTTCGCAAATGTTTGAATACAGATTTTGACCGGACACTTAACCCATCATACATGCTGAAACACTCAACATTGTAAATTGTTCAATAACCGCTGTCTCATTAGTTTGTTATATTTATTAATTGTGTTAAGATACTTTGGGGTAAATTTTGCTTTTAAAGATACTTGCGCATTTGAGGTTTTCCGATTTTTTTGTGATAAGGGCTGAATGTATGAACTGATAATGTTGCAATGAACAGAATGGTATTTGCAACCTAAGCGAACAAGGAGAGCAGCTATTTATCTCCTGAACCAATCAAATTGTTGGATTGAAAGGAGATGGGCTAAGAATGGACTACGAATGTGAATTACAGCAGGTAAATTCAATGTTGAAACAAGTGCAGAAAGATAAATAAAGCAAAGATTAGATTAAAAGGATGAAGAAAAAACCCTTGGGCGACTGTCTGTGTGGAGTTTGGACATTGTCCCCGTGTCTGTATGGGTTTCCTGCTGGTGCTCCAGTTTCTTCCCACGGTCCAAAAATGTGCAGGCTTAGGTGGATTAGACATACTAAATTGCCCGTAGTGTTCAGGGATATGTAGCCTAGGTGGGTTCTAGGGGGATTGGACTGGGTGGGATTCTCCAAGAGTCGGTGTGGACTTGTTGGGCTGAAGGGCCTCTTTCCACACTAGGGATTCTATGATTCTATATAATTTCACTAAAAATCTGGTCAGTTCTTCGAGGGTAAGCTCTAGTGAATTGTCTCCTGTAACCCTTTCGCCTTTGTCTCACTATTTATGCGCCATGCTTCTCTGCTGTTGCTGTCAGGCTATCTTTTACTCACTGCCGTGCAAATATTTGCCACTGCCAAGACCATGCAGAATTTCCAAACCCAGTGCCATCGTGGGGGTTACCATTAACCAGAAACTTAACTGGACTTATCACATAAACACAGTGGCTACAAGAGAGTTCAGAGGCACAAGTCAGCAGTGTGATTCAATACTCTGCACTTGCCTTGATGGGTGCAGCTGTAACAATGTTCAAGCTTGACAATATCCAGGGCAAAGAGGCCTGCTTGTTTGGAACTACATCCACTCCCTCCACCACAGTGCTCAGTAGCGGTGTGTACTAGCTACAAAGATGCCCTGCAGATATTCGCCAATGATCCTTAGATAGCACCTTCCAAACCTACAGCCACTTTTATCTAGAAGGACAAGGGCAGCAGATACATGGGAACACAACCACCTGCAAGTTCGTCCAAGCCACTTACCATCCTGACTTGGAAATATATCACCGTTCCTTCACTGTTGCTGGATTAAAATCCTGGAATTCTCTCCTGAAGGGGATTGTGGGTCAACCTACACCATGTAGACTGCAGCAGTGCAAGAAGGTAGCTCACCACCACCTTCTGAAGGGCAGCTAGGGATGGACAATAAATGCTGGCCAGCCAGCAATGCCCATGTCCCAGAAGTGAACTTTTTTTTAAAAAAAAACTAAAGCCCAACTGTGTGCAAGGTTAATCGCTGTCAAACATGAATAGCCGTGCATAGAACAGTTTGCCTAATAGGAGGGAAATGAAAAAGAAAAGATTCTGACAGCATATCAGTGGTATGGTTGACACTTCATTGGAAGTGAATTTCTCATTTGTAAATTTATTGCTACTTTACATCATCATATGTCTAATAGACTGTCATAGTAACTACAGCTACAAGAATGCTGATGCACAAGCTAACCAAAAAAGAAAAACTGCAGGTGCTGGAAATCTGAAAGAAAAACAGCAATTACTGGGAAAACTGAACAGGTCTGACACCAAGGGTTCTGAAGAAGGATCGGTGGATCTGAAGCGGTAATTCTGCTTTCTGTCCACAGATGCGCAGGCTGCCTGTTCTTGGCACCATACAGTGCTAGAACCCTGTCTAAGTGAGTGCCAGTCTTTTCCTAATGCCTAGTCTAGCATCACATCTTGCATTATTCAACATGAAGCATCAACATAAAGCCTTCAAACAGATGAAAACAATAACTTTTTTTGAATGACACGAAGTGCAAAGAAAAAACAAAAAAAAATTCTGCATTTGCTCCTGGGACTAAATAGGGTGGTGCTTACCTTTTTGAACAACAACAAATTTATAGTCAGTAAATAATAGTCAGCCAAGTCCAGTTTTATTGGGAGTGGGTATAAACCATGTCAGTCTGGCTCGTCGCACCAGATGCTGCGTCGCTCTGCCCTGTTGAAAGTAATGCTCTTCCTCTCAATGTCCTTACCTCCATCCTTGGAAGACTGCTGCCACTCTCCCAGCTGTTCAGCATGTGTAACATTCCCTCTTTGCCCGCTCCAGTTGTATGTAGTACAACATGCAAGGATTATGTGGCTCATTCTGTCTCGACTTGTGCAAGGCTCCTGCAAACCAATTCACATATCGGAACCTCATCTTCAGGAGGCCCATCACCTTGTTCCACAATGACTTTGGTAGAGGAATGGGTTGCATTACATTTACACGTGGCCTTGGCTTCAGTTGAATAGTGAAAGGATGTCCTTGGTCTTCCATTTGGATTGTGAAAGGATATCCTTGTTCTGCAGTAGCCCTCTTTGTAAGGCATCCGACCCTTGAAATGAAACAGGTACCTTAGTGTCTCAAGGATATAGGCATCAAAGCAGCTTTGAGGGTAGCTGGTGCAGATCTGTAAGAGGTGGGTGCCTGATGATCACAAATGACTTGTACTTTGGTGGAATCGGATCCTCTTGTATTGATGGAGTCTGCGTTAGGATCTGGCAATCTCAACATGATGTGACAAAAGTGCCTTGCCATGGGGCTGCCAGCTATATTGGCAAATGTTACTACCTTGGCTGTAGTACAGACCTCATAACAGGAAAACAAGAACTAGTGTGATCTGTCACACGCTTCATCATTATCAGCCTCGATATATTTGGGGCTCAAGATTAAGAGATCCCGCACAGTTCCTCAGTGGATTCCTGGAAGCAGCCAATCGCATAAAAATGTAATGTATCTGGCACCTTGATGGCTACTGAGTTAGGGTGGTCAGCCATCCCTTCAAATCCCACCTCCTGCTCCAGCAGATATCACAGTTCTGTGATGGTATCTTGGGCATCCAGCTGCAGTGGTAATGTGCCGCAGTCATTTGGAGAAAATGGCATTGAGGGACACAGGCTCTGGACCTCCCCTTGCTGAAAGAATCTTTAGATAAGGCCACTTCAGGTGAAACACATTTTGCAATTTCCTTCAAAACTTCCATCAAAAACCTTAAATCCTTGTTACCCAGCTGTTGACCTCTGTTAACAGAATTCATTCCTTCCTATCCGCTCAGTCAAGGGCCCTTTAACATTTTGTATGTAAAGACCACATCAGATTTAGATGAAGATGGTATTACAGAGGTATCCAAAGTTGCTGTCCAAGCTGTGCCGCTTCACCATTGGCTTTGTGCAACAATAGCATTCTGTCTACCTCTGTACTAAAATATCAAGTTGCTGTGTTTATGTAGTAGGTATGAATTAAATTCACCACAAAGTCAAACTCTTTCAAGTGTACAAACTCTTATTTCTCTTGTAAATAGCCAGCCAGTGAAATTTAATCTTTAAGTTAGTGTGGAGTATGGAGCTCAAGACCCACAAAAGGTCATAGTGGTAAAAAAGAATATCTGCATTTAAAAAAAAAACATTTTGGACGTGTACTTGGTGATAAAACTTAAATAGGTACAGTTCATGAGCTGTAAGATTTGATTTGACTGGATGGCTCCTTTTCAGCCAGACCAGATACGATTTGTTAAAACATCTCCTCCTGCACCGTAACACTTTGTATGTTTAAATGTTAAATATCAATGAAAGCTCAGATATTTTGTCTGATAAGGGCCTCAATATTTCAACCACATTTTGGAAACCCTATTTCTAAGCCAGATTGGACAAATATATACACGTTTACTTACATTCTGGAGGAATTATCCTTGTGATCATCTGGGCCATGAATCATCTCTAGCATAATCTAGGCATTCATACAGCCAAGTGAATTAGCATTGAAACCACGGTCCATTTTCACAATCATTTCTGTCATTTTCCAGTATTTGATGACTCTGGAGCCACTTTGTTTGTAAGGTGAAGGGATTGACATACCAGTTGGGTAAACACTTGATATGTTGTGGGTGCAGGTGGAGTTCAAATTGGTTACAATGATGGTGGGGTGTCAAGTATGTGCCACACCCACATCCTTTCAAAATCTCAACTGGTAGCTGTGAAAATTATGCTTCGCTCCTATACCATGTTGTTTTGATATGGTGTAGCGACTGTGAAATATTCCATCATTAGGACTAGTGCTTGAATTTCACCTTAATTTATTGTTTTGCAGCCAAATATCCAAAAGATACAGTTAGAGTAAGTCACTAAGCAATATAGCTTCAATTTTTAAGTTTTTCTTTGTTAGGAATCTTCACGGGAAACATAATTGAAGATTATTTGAATGGCAGAGCAGACTCGATGGGCTGAATGGCCTACTTCTCCCACATCTTATGGTTTTGGTAAACCAAAGTGGCTAATTTAACAGCTAATCTATTATATTGTGTTGTGAGCCACTTGTTCTTTTTAACAGGCCTAAGATTGTTTGTGTTTTTCTTTTCTAGGTTAGAGACAATCTGGGTGTCAGTCTGGATAATCAAAATTCGCCACAATCTCCAATTCTCATTCCACCTCTTCGTATGTTTGTGTCCTGGTTATTTAAGGTAACCTGGTATAATTCCTCTGATTCTAAAAGTTGCACATTGCAACTTGGAAACAAAAATTTGTTCAAAGCAGACTTAGTCAGCACTTGTGATGAGAAACGTCAGGTCAAGGTTTCAGTTGTAATCTGTTATCAGAACTGTGAACTACAAGCTGAGTGGGCATTTCAACTATGTTGTGGGATGAAGAGAGAAGTTGTGGTAAAGAACAAATACCAGTATGTGGAAAACATTAATGGGCCAGTTATTTGAGGGTAATGAAAGTTATAATCATATTTTGGTTTATTTAGAAATGAGATGAATGAAGAGCTATTCCATTATTTTGCTTTCTTATTCCATTAAATTATAAGAATATACCTTTTTCTGACAATGATCTATTATCAAATTGGAAAATTCCTTTCACTTTACTTTTAATTTCAGTATTCCATTTGGCTGTAAGACACTTCTAAATTTTGTTTTGTACAAAAGTCAGTAAATTCCAATTAAATATACAAATGAAAGCAAAATGCGGCATACGTTGGAAACCTGAAGTATTTAAAAACACAGAATGCCACAAATACTCAGCAGTTAAGGCAGCATCTGTGGAAAGAGAAACAGAATTCACACTACAGATTGATGTGCTATTGATTTTGATACAGTTTACATACAGTAAAATGGGCATAAGTGTAGTGTAGATCAAGACATTTTTTGAAATGTAATTAGAGATTAAGTCTAAGCTTTCAGAAACTGTGACTGTTTAATTGTATTGTTGTCACCTTTTTAAGGCAACGACTCTGCCCAATGAATACAAGGAGGGAAAACTGCAAGCATACAGGCTAATCTGTGACATTATGACCAAACGCCAAGATGTCTTGCCAAACTCTGATTTCTTAGTGCACTTTTATCATGTGATACACCGAGGCATTGTGAGTGAGGATCAGGTAATAAAATCATTTGTTTTGTAGACAGCGTTGTTCAAGTTTTAATTTAAAGTCAAAATAAAGTGTATTGTAATACAGTAAAGTAAACTATGAATATTCCAAAATAAATGTGAAGAATAATTCTTGGAAAAACCTTTGATTTTAGTAAAATAATTTATCGAATGTTAAAAGCAGCTGAGTTCTGTTTTATGCATTGCATGCCAAATTTATCATGGTAGTAATGTGCTTATTTTATTTGACAAACTGTTGTACTTCTGACCTATTTAAGGTTTTTTTTTAAAAACCTTGAATCCTTCTCTAGGTTCAGGTGTGAGACTGTTTATTGAAATTTCATTTCCACATTTGTATGATTCGGAATGCCAAAAAATAAAAATTAAGCATAAGGAAGATTGTCACAAACTTTGAAGTCAGAAAGAAGATATCAAGTATAATTCTATGATATACTTTCAGAATTTGGCGTAACACGGTTCGCCAAAAGAACTGTCACTGCACTAATAATCAGAGATCCATGTAATATTCTGGGGACCCAGGATTGAATCCCACCAAGGCAGAGGTGGAACTTAGGATCCAGTACAAGTTAGGATATAGACAGTAAGGTTTTGGATGAATCAAGTTTCCAGACGGATCAACGTGTCATGTCTGCTGGGGAGAGCTTTGTAATAGCCTTTTTTTAAAAAATGCATGAATGTTCAGATGTGCTAAGGGAGAGCTAGAGATTGACAATGCTACAGAGAGGCAAATTGGCAGTCTTTGTCTTTCCATTACCAAGACTATGAGCTGGGAAGGTTAGATTGAGCTATCTGGGACACCAGATAGTTTTAAATAAATATGGTTTAGTTTTAGATGGTGACCTAAGAAAGAGGTGAAAATCACTGGCTAGCAATTGGAGTTTATGGGAAGGGCTGAAGTCAGTTGAAATTGTAGCGGAGGATCTTTCTGCTCACCAAATACAGGATACCTGATAAGAATCATGACAAATCAAAGACATGGGAGGGAGTCAAAAGAAGGTGAAGCTGGGGGGTGGGGGTGTCATTTTAACATTTTCTGATGTTAGATGATGTATGTACACTTCTGTATAGAGAACGTTTACACTGTTTCTTTCATGTAAATTTAGGCTTCACTCTTCAACAATATTGGCTAACAACCTCTAATTTGAAAACTTCTTTGAACCCCCTCGGGCTTAGCTGATATTAAGCTATTATTGTTGGAGATGCACAAATGAAGTTCTAGACTTATCAGGTGTCTATAATACTGGGCTCAGTTTGAATGGCGGTAGTGACTGGGTGTTTTTAAATTTCATCCTGTTTAATGGTATTGATCGTTCATGCTTTCCTTTACAATAAATTTGTAATCACCTATACTCCAATTGGCAAGGGTAGCAAACTTACCTTGTTTGGTATTCGTATGGCAGAAATTTAATAACCTTGCAAAACCTATCACTCATAACAAACCATATCTGATTTTATTATACTTGTTCTGCATTTTTAGCATATTGAGATTGATGTTTCCATTTCTGTGCACTAATGGAGCTCACTAACATGAGTGTCTAGTTCCCACCTCCAAACTGAGACATGAAAGAAAATCTGGAGGAGGAGTGTTACAATTTTGCCACTGAGAGTCAGATACATATTAACATTTTAATTTGTGTATGGTTAGAAGATTTTAGACAATGCCCTCTGTATATTTCCAGTATCACTGGTGCATCAGATTATCATGGGTTCACGTTCCAGTTTTCCATTGTTTTTAGTACCAGATTTTCCATGTTACCAATGTGACATTTTATTGCTTCATCTATTTGAGTCTTTCTCTCATATAGTTCAAGTACTATATGCTACAGAAACAGCACTAACGCATGTCTAAGTGAAGAAGACTTCATGGTTCTCTTGTCACTTAAGGCACGTGGCTTGTCAATGACAATTGGATTTTGCTCCCTCTGACAAGAAAGAGGAGACAGATGGCAAGCTCCTCTTTTAGCAGTTCAGTCTTTATAAACTGTAACAAAAACAGGCATTATTGGAGAAACTCAGCAGGGCTGGCTGTGTAGAGAAAGCAAAATAATCATTTCAGGTCCAGTAAAACCTCATCAGAACAGTTTATAATCTGTGTTCTGTCTGCTGTTATGAATGTCATGTTTTTAAGGAGAAATCAGAATCATTTGGAGTAGAAGCTTTATTTCAAGGGAATGTTCCAGTTTCATCTGGCTTGTCACTGGAATTGGATACTAGCTAATTTTGTCAGTACAGTTCAAGAGGTTGAAGTGCTGATTATATAAAAGTAAATGCTGAATGTTGTGGATGCAAGAGCCTATTTTACTACCCAGGACGTTGTGCTATCAATTTGTCTTAAGTTTCCAAACTTGTGGAAGAGGCTGATGGTGTCATTTTTTTTGTTAACTAAGTGCTTATTTGAAGAGTGTGTATTTTTAAAACCATTTATGTTCGTAAGCCTTTACGCATATGCCCTGAAGCAGGCAGTTTTGGGAAGCTCCAGCATCAATGAAGTAGCAATTTGTTTCTAATTAAGTGGTGATTTACTCCAGTGTAGTTTGATCAACGTAATGATTTTTTTTTTGAATAAAGGTTGTTGTAGCCATCATTCACTGAATAGCACTTGACTACTAATAGCTGTTTTTTGAGAAATGTATTTAATGACTTCATAGAATGTAGTACCAAATTGTTTGATATGGAGAGTGGTTGTTTACTTCCCCAGCCTCCATCATTGAAAATAAATTTGGGTAGGTAATTGTGTTCAGGCAGTCAAGATGTGTAAATGAAGTTTGGAAATTGTTTCATGCTAGACATGTTTCACCAGACAAAGAACCTCAGTATTTCAGTCCCGTTACTGCAGTCCCCAAGCAAACTTGGGGCAGAATTTTCCTATTTTCATTTAGTTTTTGTTGAGTGAGACATATGGCATCCAGTCTCACAGTAACTTTTTTCTCTCAATCTTCTGCTTTTCACCTCATTAATTGTACAGTGCAGCTCTTTGGCCCTATTCTCATGGAATTGCAGAGCACTTGCCATTGCCCAGACCTAGTGGCATTCATACTGCTGGCACCATATTTAAAGCCCAGCTGCAAATTACCTTGGGTTGCAAGCCAGAAACTGCCTATTAAGATGTGACACCCAACTATTTACACTTAGGAAATGGGTCAGAAAGGAAAGCTTGTATCCCACTTCCCAGACAGGAGCCTGGAAGTGCTAGTGGGTAGAATATTGGGAAGCAGGGCAGTCCCTTTTCTTGCTGACCACTGCAGGAGGCCAAGTCACCAAATGCAGCTAGATTGGACCTAGCTAGCAGCTCAGGTCAGTGCTGTGCCCTGGGTTTAAAGGAGCACCCAGTAATGCAGGAAGAAGGCCAGTGATCTTATGCACCCCACGAGGGGAAGTGCTGCATTATGTGCATGCAATGGCACCCACCCACTTTGTCCTCCTCAAGTGATGTCCCTATGTCACTGACCTACTTATTATCACTGGGCTAGTTTCATGAGATGTATAGGACTGATCTCTGCACGAAAAAACAATGCAAGTCAAAGAAACTGGCAGCCTCTAAGTAAATGCAAAGGTGAGCATGAATGCAACAAGCTATGAGCTATGAGATGCATCCATTATAGATGCATGAGATAAGTGCTCCCTGAACCCAAACCAACCTGGCAGAAGTATGCCAACTGTGTGTGACTCCAAGCACCATAGTAACATGTTTGAAGAGTTGAAGTGCTGTCAGTTGCTCTGACTTTAGGCAAAATGATATGCAACTGGTGGTTTCCTACTGCTGAATTGCATCAAGGAAAGGTCAGGAAGGTTGGTGGTCATGAAGCACGCAGGCAGAGTAGGATAAAAACTGAAAGAACTGCAGATGCTGTAAATCAGGAACAAAAACAAAAGTTGCTGGAAAAGCTCATCAGGTCTGGCAGCATCTATGGAAAAAACAATCAGAGTTAATGTTTCGGGTCCAGTGATCCTTCCTTGCAACTGATGGTAGCTGGGAAAATGTTGGTTTATATGCAGAAGATAGGGAGGAGGATGGGGTAGGGAGTAAACGATAGGGTGAAGGATAGAGCCCAAAGAGAGAGAAGAGCAGTTGGGTAGACATAAGAGTTGATAACGATCTGGCTAGAAGGGTGAATAGAAGTTAATGGGTCGATGTCGAAGTTGGCCTCATCTGAACGTATGCAATGGAGACAGAGAACCTGAGAGAATGGGGTGGAGCCTTTACAGGGTGATGGCTGAGAGAAGCCATCGGAGAGGACCAGCTGCTAGGTAGCCACCTTTGACTTGCATGTTGGGAATTTGCACTGTCTAGTTATTTTTTGGGGGCAAGTTACAGAATTTGTAATGATGTATAAATAAGGTCAGTTAGATTTGTGATGACATTCGAATTTGTGGAAATATGACAGTCACCATTCAATAGCACGATTCTGAAGTCACCATTTAAAGGTTAAGGGAAAAAATCAAGATTATTTCTCAATATTGCAGCTCTGATTTTTTTTTTTTGGTTTGCTCTTTCTGTATTTTCTCATCTTTCTTAAAGTTGTCCATACCAAATCAGGAAGGGGAGAATTTCCCCTCAGTTTCTAACTGACCTGACCTGAACTTATTAAATCTACACTGAAGTCCAAGCAGTCTTCTCAGCATAGATCATACAGATACACACAGGTCAACCATGAGAATCTTAAGAAATGCATGTTGCTGTTCTGAAGTTATGAATACCCACGGATACTATCTTTGAATAGCGTTAATAGTATGGAGTATATGGTACCTTGAATCATCATGCAGGCTGATGTTACTCTTCCTCTTGCATAAACAGGGCCTTATCAATTGTGGCTAAATTTTGAAGGAAGTAAGAGCTAAATGTTTAACTTTACCTGGAAGATGATCTTGGTGTGGTTGTCCTCCGAAGGGGAAGAGTCTCGTAATTCATGCTGTAGCATTTGTGATCAGTGTAGAAATCCCATCAATGCCCAATGTAGGCTTGTTTGAAGAGAGTTCATTATCGAGAGAAATGTAGACCGATTCATCGCCAAATGAAATATAATGCAGATTCCCGTTACATAATGGGAAGGGGGAGGCAATGGCCTAGTGGTATTATCGCTGGACTGTAATCCAGAAACCCGGATAACATTCTGGGGACCCGGATTCGAATGCTGCCACGGCAGATGGTGGAATTCAGAATCTAATGATGACCATGAAACCATTGTCGATTGTCAGAAAAAACCTGTCTGGTTGACTAATTTCCTTTAGGAAAGGAAACTGCCATCCTTACCTGGTCTGGCCTACATGTGACTCCAGACCCACAGCAATGTGGTTGACTCTTAACTGCTCTCTGGGCAATTAGGGATGGGCAATAAATGCTGTCTAGCCAGTGATGCCCTCATCCTGTGAATGAATTTTAAAAATTGCTTATTGTTGTGGTACTACCTGTAACAGTGGGGTTACTTGTATGTCTTCAATGTTTGAATTTCCTCATTCATTGGTCGTCAGTCCTGAGAAAATGTTATGTACCAAAAAAATCCTGGTGGTCCTTCAAAGGAATCTTGGTGGTCCTTCAGTAGTGGCTATAAAGTGTTTCACAGGCTGTCCTTCCACCAACTTTAGCATTGTAGACATTGCCCTGCAGCTAACTTATCCATATTGCAAAAACAATGAGAATAGAAAATGCCAGAGAAACTCAACAGGTCTGACAGCATCTGGAAAGAGAAACATTCACCAATGTTTTGAGTCTACTGACTCCGAGGAGTTTCTTTCCCCACAGATGCTGTCAGACCTGCTGGGTTTTCCAGCACTTAAAATATGTTGTTTTTGTTTCAGCTGGAGGGAGTGTGGGTAGGAGGTTGTGAAAATCTTCATTATGAACTGGGCCTTTAAGCAGATCCCTTTTAGTGTGGCCATCTACAAATTGCTTTCAAAGGTTGAGTTATTTGTTTGACCAACTAGACGGGAGAAAAATTAACATTTTGTGGAGCAGATCTATATCTTTAATAGGTCAGTAATTTGTTCCATGTAAATTATATCCAGATGATCATGAAGATAATTGAAACTCAAGCTGTTTTATTTGCATTCGCTATATTTTGCATTCACTTACTGCTCACAGTGAGACCTTTAGCAAATTTCCTCACACGGTCACTGGAAGGATGAGTAATACTGTACAGATTACAGGATATTGCTGTAATATAAACTCTTACTGTAAATTGAATGTGGAACATCCTGCGGTCAAAACATTTTGTAATTAAAGGTAATATCAGTTATGAGGTATTGGAGTAAAACCTCAAATTTGTCCTACACATAGTAATATCTGTGAACTTTAAAATAAGTGCATGCATTGGATAAAAATAACATTGAAAGCTGCCAACTCTCAAATACTTCCTATCTCTTCAGGGATTATGGCCCCAATACTGAAAATCAGGCTTTATTTTCTAGGACTATCACTGCCCTCAACAGTTTATTACCTCATAGTCCACCACCGCACTTCTACCTTCTTCCCAAAATCCACAATCAAGACTGCCCTGATAGAACCCTCGTTTAACATGTTCTTGCTCCTTCTTCCTAACTTACTTCTTCCTAAGCCATCTTTATTTTTCCCTTTTGTTCAGTCTGCCGCTATTTGCATTTGTGATCTTCTGATGCTTCGTGTTGGTTCTACAATTTCAAGTTTTCTGTCCCTTGCCACCACCTCTTCACCATAAATGTGCATTCCCTCTATACATCCGCCCTCCATCAGAATGATCTGAAGGCTGTCTGCTGCTGCCTTGAAAGGCCTGCACAGTCTCCATTTGCCATCATACTTCTTTGCAGAACTGAGTCTCTCTCACTTTGAATACCTTCTCCTTTGACGCACTGAAAATTAGACGAG